TTTTTTTTGGAGAGATTTTCACTGTAGGGCGCGTGCGCTCGCCAGACAGACAGAGAGAGACATAGAGACAGAAAGCGAGAAATCACCCCCCAGGGGGGATGGTCACGCCGCAATCCCTTCTCCTCCATTCTCCTCTCGGGATCTTGGGCACGCATGCACACGCGCCCGGCGTGAGTTTTAAGCCACCGGGTCCGGGACATGAACCGCGGTCGACTACGTGGGAGTCCAGCGACATAGCCATTACGCTAACTGCTGGTTCCCAGGCTACGTTACCTTTGAAGAAAACAAATCTTCCATCAGCTCTTTCATAGGCAGCGTCTATGCGGGCAGGCAGGCCCTTCCAGAACTGTTCTATCTGCATGGGGTAGCCCTCCTGCACCCGATTATTGCGTAGGCGCCAGAACCAGCGATCCTGGGAGAGAGGTGGAGGAAAGTCATGTCAGGCCCTGCCTCTGATCCCAGTGATCCCAGCCCCAACCACCCAACTCCTGCCCCTGGGCCAGCATTGCAGCCCTCCACAGGGTCCATTTACTGCTTCAAACTTTCAAATCCTGGTGAAAAAGACAGGATGCTCATGTAACTCTTTATTTAAGCCTGGATGGCTCCTGTTGCCAGAGGAACCACGAGACAGACTGCAAACAGGCCTGGAGTTGGAGAGCTGGAAAGGATGATGCATGCCTAGAGTGGCCACCTGAGGGCAGCAGAGAGTCACTGCCATCAGCGGGGTCAGCCTCCTGGCTGGAGGAAACTCTGGGTGGTCACTGAGCATGGGCAGAGTGCCCTCCACAGGGTCTGGCTCCATCCCACAGGGCAAGGATCGTGGGAAGCAAGCCATGGAACTCCCCTGAAGACATGGGGGAACATTCTGCTTCCTCCACTTTCAGTTGCATGACCTAGGGTCTTATCTGCAAATGCAGGTAAGAGGGTCAGATGAGAGATTTCAGGTGAGGCGCCTAGAACAGTGTGTGGCACATAGCCCATGCTGAACAAATGGGAGCTAAATAGGCCAAGAGTCCAATAAACTCCTCCTCTTCTCACTGGTGCCTTGTCCCTACCATGGTTGAGGCATGGTCTAGGCCTGTAGCCTCCCAAGACCTCAGTTTTCTTATGTGTGAAGGGAAATGTTAAAATTCTGACTTGCCTATAAACAGTTCAGTTGCAAGGATCAAAGAAAAGTGAATGCAGAAGAAAGAACGTGATTTGAAAAAGATGGTACTAAAGGTAGTATTGTTAAAGATGTTTTACAAAGTACTTTTGCATCCAGCTTTATAGTCTTATTTTGATTTTCATGACACTGGTAAGTAAACCTGAGACATACAGTCTTAAGAAAGACCCATTCAGTGAAGGATTCATTGCCCTGTGGCTGGGATTACAGCCAGCAGGCAGTTCTCAACTGTCAGCCCCTTGAATGGTCCTAGCTTCTGAGCTTCCCTCAAGGACATTCCTTTCTTCATCTAATGACTGAATGAGGCAGGGGATTAAAGTTCTAGCCATTGGGATGACTGATGGGCCACTGTGGCTCCAGAGCTCCCTATGGAGGTGGCTGAGTGTACAGTGGGCCTCAGTTGCCACTTCATTACACCTTCTGTCCTGTCCTGCTTCCTTCTCCTCCTTCCCACAGGTGGTGATCCCAAAGGTACTCCCTAAGCAAGACCCTGAATTCCAAACACCCTCTCAGAGTCTGCTTCCCTGAGAACCCAATGTGGAACTCGCCAAGCAGGCTGCTGCCAGTCAGCCCATGGCTGAAGTGACAGGCGCAGGACAGATGATAGGATGTAGCAGGGCCAGTGCCAGCACTCAGGCACTGGGAGGGGCTGAGTCACACTCAGCCACCACTGACCCAGCCCTATTCCAGGCCTGCCATCATCATAGCCAGATGGCATCATACATACCCTTCGCTAGAAGAATAACTCTCTGAAGGTTTCTGGTCCAGAGAAGGGAGGTGACTTGTCCAAGGTCACAGGCCGGAAGCCAGTCTCCAGCACTGTACCCTAGTGTTAGCCCCCTGGGAAGGTTTGGGATCGCCAGCCTTTCCCCACTCTCTCTTGGAAACAAATGATTCACCCAGCAACACTAGGAAGAGACCCTGTGTCTTGGCTACTGGGCCAGTTCCTGTCTAGGCCCCACAGCAGCCTAATCCCAGAGCAGGAGGCTTCTCTGGCTCCATGAGAATGGGCCACCAGGGTGGCACCAGTCAGCCAGCTCTACCTTAAACACAAACATCTCGCCCCGGAAGAGGGCCACTGTGTTGAAGTTGCCATCGCAGATGTTCGGTTTGGCGCCTGGTGTGGATGGTCGGTCTCCAAGGGGTGGCCGAGGGGGCCTGGGCTGGCGTTCATGCTTCCTCTCCGATGGTGAGTGGATCCTACGGACGGGGAGTGTGGGGAGTGGCCTTGTGGGCTCCAGTGGCTCAGCTGGAGGTCCTGTAGAGAGGGACTGCATCTTAGAGCGGGGCCAGCTGTTCCCCGCCTCCCACTGCCTTCACCTGGTCATTGCTTGGGCAGGTCTGAGACAAGTTGGTACGATCTTGCCTCCTGTCCCTCTCCCAAGCTTAGCTCCCCCAATCTTTAAGAAGATAGATGAAAATGTCTATTAGAAGGGAATTTTCACCTTTCTACCCCCAAATCTGGTATTTTCTCTTTTTTCTCTCCTGGTTGATAGCAAACATGCTCTTTCTTAAGGCCAGTGTCCCATGCCCTCTTTCTTTGTCCCCCCATAGATTCTGGCCCCACTCTCTCACCCCCACCCCTTCATTCTTTATCCCACTCAGTCCAGCTTCTGGCCTGCCACCTGCACATACTGCTCTGCTAGATTAGCAGTGATCACTGTTCCCAGATCCCGGTGGTTACTTGACTCAAACTTGGATGAGTTTATGCATCATCTAGGGAATTTGATAAGGTGCAGATTATGACCCAGAGGTCTGGGGTGGTGCCCAAGAGTCTGTGTTTCATCGAGCCCTCAGATGATGCCATTGTTGCTGGTCTGAGGCCCATGTGTTGAGTAGCAAGATTATAGAAACAGTTTCCTTGAAATAATATATATTTTTTTTTGCTATAGGGTGCATGCACTCACCAGAGAGAGACAGAGAAGTAGAGAAATAAGAGATAGAAGTGAAGAGATAGGGGGATGACCATGCTACAATCCCTTGTTTCTTCCCCTGGGATTTTGGACTCACATGCACAAGCACTGGCATGTTTTTCAAGTCACCAGATCTGGGACTCAAACCATGAAGTCAGTCATGTGGGATCCAGTCACCTTAACTACCATGCCACTAGCTGGCCCAAAATAGTGTCCTCTCTTTTCCAGGAGAAAAGAGGTTTTCCTCCTACCTCACAGGCCGTTCCTACCTTAAAGCTGTTCCCTCTCTGCCTTCTTAGCCAATGACTTTTCTTCACCTACCTAACTCTAAAAGATGAAATGAAATCTTAATTTTATTTCATTTTAATTAGTATAAATTTAAATTTAATAGCCTTATGTGCCTAGTGCTTGCTGTATTGGACACCAAAGATCTCAAATCAATATCCCAGTCCAGATCTTTGAGCTACAGTCACTGAATCCTGTTGCCCCACAATTATGAAAGCCAGAGACCCTAGGGCCCTCCTTGATCTTCCCTTCTTCCCCTCACTCTCATATCTCATCTATCAGCAGATTCTGTCCTCTTTACCCTGGAAATACCTTCTGGCATCTATTGCCCCACTCGGTCCTCTGCTAGTTCAGGTGGAGGGCCTGCACCTCCTCCCAAGAGAGTCCTCCTCCTGTGCTCCAGAGCCTGGAGCTGGGATTGGTGTAAGTAGGATGGTCTCAAGTAAGCTGGTCTCTCATCTTACCCAGCTTGGCCAGGATGAGGACCCTCATATACCAGTGTGAACTAAAGTGACAGAGAGGCATGCTAGGAGGCCTTTCACTTCTTATCCAGACAGTAAGCAGCCTCCCTTCTCAAGTTTTCTTTTTAATTTGCCAGAAAGCACATAAACCTTTGCATAGAGACAGAGAGGGAAAGTGAGAAAGTGCCCCCTTGGGGAATGGTCACACAGCAGTCCCTTCTCCATGCCTTTCAGGATTTGGGGCATGTACACACATATGCCTGCCATATTTTTCAAGTCTCCCGGTCTAGGACTTTAATCACACAGTCAGTCATGTGGAATCCAGCTGCCTTAACCACCATGCCATCAGCTTGCCCCAGTTTTTCTTTCTTTCTTTTTTTTTTTTTTTTAAGAGACGGGCTTTGTTATAATACATATCACATTGTACCATCACTACTCAGGCAGATTTGTGAATCTTGTTGGCTAGAGGTGGGACCCATGAGAGTGCTCTGTCACCATTTGGTGAGGGAGGGAGGTATATGAAGGGGGAGGACAAAGAAGAGAGAGCAGCCAGGCCTCTCTTCACTTTTGCCCCTCCCTACTCCCCAGTTACAGCTCAGACCCTCTCCTACGTTTCTCAGGTGTGCTGGGGGGGCGGGGGCGGGGGCGGGGGGAGCCCTGCACTCTCTGTCTCTGGCCAAAGATGTCAGAAGTCTGTAAAGGCTGGAATACAGTCAGAGACAAAGCAGCAATGATGATGGATGGCAGCACCCCCACCTCACCCTTGCCCCCAGACAGGCAGCCACACCCCAGCCCTGTGGAAAGAGCAGCAGCCCTGTCCCCACCACACACCGTAGATCTTCTGGATGCCCTGGAGATCATCCTGGGGCAGCTTGAAGTTGTGCGTCTCCATGTACTGGTAGAAGGGGGCCATGATGGCGCTGGGGTCGTTGGAGTGCTCCAGCCCTAGTGCATGGCCCAGCTCGTGCACAGCCACCAGGAAGAGGTCGTTCCCTGCGGAGAAGGCATAAGAGGTGCCAGGGCACCCACTTAGGTATCAATCAGTCACTCCATTACTGCAGCACACACTGAATGTAGGCCTCATGCCAAGCCCTGCTCTGGACCTGGGGGACACAGAGAATCAGACACATCCCTGCTTCCAGCCCTCTTGGTGCAGTGGGGGATGTGGGAAGAGACAAAGTAAGTGAAGCGAGTGCTCAGGTGCTATGAGATGTCTGTAAGAACAGGCATTCTGGGGAACCAGCAGTTAGCGTAATGGCTATGTCGCTGGACTCCCACGTAGTCGACCGCGGTTCGTGTCCCGGACCCGGTGGCTTAAAACTCACGCCGGGCGCGTGTGCGTGCATGCCCAAGATCCCGAGAGGAGAATGGAGGAGAAGGGATTGCGGCGTGACCATGCCCCCTGGGGGGTGATTTCTCGCTTTCTGTCTCTCTGTCTCTCTCTGTCTGTCTGGCAAGCGCACGCACCCTACAGTGAAAATCTCTCCAAAAAAAAAAGAACAGGCATTCTGAGGCCAGAGGGGTCCTTTAAGCTTAGAGGAAGATGTTCAGAAAAGCTTCATAAAGGTGAAGCTTACGTTGAGTCCTGAAAGATAAGTCTGTCAGGAGAATGGATTAGGGGTTGAGTGGAGGAGGGTGGGGTGGCATTCCAAATGGTATGTGAGGTAGTCTACCAGGACCTCTGCCTTCTGAAGGAATGCTATAAACAAGGTCCAGGGACAAGCAGTTTTATTTCTTTTGGCTGTGGAACAAAGCAGGAGGGGAGGGTTAGTGAGAGGTGAGGTCAGCCGGGCTGGCAAGCAGGGCTCCGCAATGCCACACGGAGGAATTTGGACCGGCTTCTCTCCAGCGGGGGGTTAAGCAGGAGTGGGGGTGGCAGTACCAGTACCATGAAGTCACTCTGCTGCAGTTGGAGGGGAATGAGACCTGAGGCAGGTGGTGGGGGAGAATCTCTTTGGAAGCTAATACAGTATTCCAGGAGAGAGACGAAGAGGATCGGCCGAGGCAGAGGTAGTGGGGGAGAGAAAGTCCTGGGGAGTTGGGGGAGAGTCAGCATCAGGAGACACAGAGACAGGCAGGCCCTGGGCATGGCACAGCTCTCAGTCAGACCTCATTTCTGGGGGAACTACTGGCAAAAACTAAGTGGGGATTCAAGTATTGGTGAAACAGCCCAGGTGCTAAGAGTGGATCCCATGTGTGGACTGAGGTAGCAGCATGGCCTGGTGGCCATGAGCCCAGACCCCTGAGCAGGACAGAACCCCCATATCTCCAGCTCCCCCTTAGGTTCCTTGCTTGTAACATGGGGGAACCCTAACTACCGAGAGTTCGTGGCATGGCACCAAATGGTACTTGTTGTTATCCTACATGAGACAAAAGCTTGGTTACGAGAACAAGCCCACAGACCAGGAAGGAAGCACAAGGCCAGTGGGGTTCAGCAATGAAGTCCTCTAAAAGCTGGTTCCCTTGAGCTTCTGCACTGGGTCTGAGACAGGACAAGGCCTGCATTTGGGGTGTCAAGTAACCCCAGCTTTGCGAAAGAAATGCAAGGGCCAGGTAGTTGGGCAGGCTATGATTTTGACATCCTAACTCTTGTCTGCCCAGAGACAGACCTGTGCTTGCCATGATCTCTGGCATTTGCAGCATCTAAGCCCTAAGGCATGTCGCAGCCCACTCCTGCCACTTCGCATCCAGGGAAACTGCTAGGGGACTATGATGTGGTCAGGAGTTCTACTGCCCATTCTGGCCCCAGCAATGTTGCCCCAACCTAGCCAAGGGTCCTGTGAGGGTCAGATGCAGGGGTGGGGAGAGGGTTGGCCTTCCTGGCTGAGGTCTGGAAGGAAAGAAGCAGCCCCAGGGCAGACCCAAGCCAGGAGAAGTGCATGCCTGCCCCTCCACTGACACCACCTGTACTGCCTTTGAGCAATGGAAAGGAGGGGGATGGGCAAGATCAGTGCAAGGTTGGCCAAAAGCCTGGGGCTAGCCTTCTGCTGGGGAAGGGCAAGCTGGCAGGAGAAGGCTAGGCCGCCCCAGCTCCTTCCTCAGGTCCTGGTCCCTGGCAGCAGGGAAGAGGATGAGCTCATCTCTGAGCTCAGTCCCAAACAAGGTGGCTGCTAGAGCCAGCAGAAGGCACAGTTCTGCTTCCCGGGGTCTTGGCCTGACTCTACTGGCTCATCCCTTGACCTGGGACAGGCTGTTCAGGGCCTCTGTCTCCTGACTGGGCTCTTCCTCAGTAGTCACCCACGGCGATCTGTTAGGAGCAGGCAGCAGGGCTCTGAGTCTCTGGGGAGACTCCAAAGCTTTGTCCTCAGCCTGGGCCTATTACTCTCTCAACCCCTGTACCTGGGTCAACAGAAAACAAGAGTCACCACTGAAGGAAAGGGGCCTGTGGGTTTGATCCAGGGGCCAAAAGGAAAAGAAGAGCTCAGGAGTTGACATCATGCTGCACATAAATCCAAGACATTCCAGGGAGGAGATGGAAGGAGGGGGCAGGAGGACTCCCTGAGCTTGGAGGGGAAAGCAGGGTATGAGAAGAGGCTGCCCTGGAGAAGACCTGCGCATAATGGGCAGGAGGCCATTAGGGCCTTCACTCCTCGTGAGAGCGAGAAGCCAGGAAGCAGAGTGGTCAAGAGTGCAGTCTGTGGGAGCCAGACTGCCTGGTTGTGGACTCCAGCTCTGCCATGTCCTAGCAATGTGACTCTTTAAATCTCTTCTTCTGTAAAATGAAGGGAATAATGGTACTGTCATCCTAAGAATGGGGGTGAAGATTATTGAGGCAGCATATGTAAGGTGCTTATATCAGCACAGGGTGTGTGTGTGAGGACCAGTGGCCCCAATATGGAGTGTTCCCTTAAGTCCCTGGACCTCCTAGCAAGTCCTCAACAGGCTACCCAGCTACTCAACAGGCTGCTAGTCTCTGCTTCATTTCCTTCTCTTGGGACGTCTATCTTTGGTGACTCCTACCTCCTTAACTACCTCAACCCTGGAAGTTTATAGTGTTTCCCATTGCCTTTGTTCTTTTGCCAGTGCTATCTCCCCTACCTGGAATAGCCATATTCCTTCCAAGTTTAGCTCAAGGCCTATTTTCCAGGAAGCTGTCCCTGATTTCCCCAGCTGGAAGTGAGTATCTTCTCCTCCGCACTCCCCTGGCAGTTTCTCTGAACCATCTCTACAGTATTGACCACTTTCCATCCTGTTACAGACTCTATGCACGCTCCCACCTGCTGCAGCACAGTGGACTCCTTGAGGCCAATCTGTGTGCTTGACAGGGTGAGGAGACAGCACTCAGGGTGGAACAGCATCACAAGTTCAGTGTTTCTCCAAGTGTGATCCTTGGACCACGTGCTGCAGAGCCACCTGTGGTGACTTCAAGTTCGGAGTCCTGGGTTCACTACTGGCTCTGCTACTTAACCAACTGTGTAAATTTCTAACCATTTGGTGGACCTTCACTTTCTACACCTGGAAGATGGAGTTTATAATCCCTGCTGGTCTGCCTCCCAGGGTTGGGAGAGAGGTAGTGAGGTGGGTGTGGTCCTGATGGTTCTTCCTGTCTGGTCACCTTCCCTTATGCAGGAACAGCACAGGGCTGGGATCCCTCCCAGCAAAACTCAGTGACTCTCTGCTGATTTCACTATTGACTCATTTGCAAAAAATAAAGATAAAGGATGCCTGAATGTAGCCCCAGAAATCAGTTTTTGTGGTGGGCTAGCTTGCTCCTTCACACAGACTCCAGCTTGATAGAGAGTTGGAACCACTTTTATGATCCAGTGGTTCTCCAGGGGAGCCTTTTAAATACACATGGGAGGAGATTCTGATTTTGGAGATTTGGGTTGAAATATAGAGAACCATTTTTTTCTTTTAAGTTCCCCAAGTTAATTGTATAATGTATGGGTCAGGCTGACACAACCTGAACCAAATGCTCCACCTTGACAGTACTAAAAGTGGGACTACCTGCATCCCATGTGCTTCTCAATGTGATGAACAGGAAGAACCAGAAGTGCTCATGCCAAAAAGGGAACCTGAAACTAGCTGGGCCCACAGATCTAATTACCAATACTCAGGAATTATGGGGAGGAAAAAAGTGATAAAAGTGAACTTGAATCTACTCAAGCCAAATGACTATATTTGGGACAAATGACCCAGTACTTTCAACAAATTCATGGGAGAAAATTTGTGTTTGTGTGTGTGTGTGTGCATGTGTGCATGCACAAGTTGGGGGAATATTTTAACATAAAAAGGTTTTAGAAGACATCATCCATGTGCGATGTATGGATCTTGTTTGGATCCTGATTCAAGCCAATGACTGTAAAAAAGACATTTTTGAGGTAATTTGGGAAAATGAACACTGAGTATTAGATTCTAAGAAATTAGAATGTTAGGTTTGATGATGATTTTATAGTCATGTTAAAAATAAATCTTTATCTGTTAGAGGTATATACTAAAGTATTTACAGGTGAAATGATATGTTGGGGATTTTCATCAGTCCTACCAATGAAAGTGTATGTGTGTGGGGAGGCAGTAGATGAAATAATAATGACACATACTGATCGTGGGTGAAGCAGATGATGGGTACCTAGGGGACCATGTGAGGGGACTTCAGAGTGTTTGTGGAAAATGGAATTAAAGTACAAGTTCATTTTAGGACAAACACTTTGAAATCCATTCATAGTTTTTCCATAATACTATTTCCCATGAACTTTTTGAAGACCCCTTGTTACAATCATTTCCTTTACTTTTGAGAATTTGGAATTTTCCATAATGAAAGTTTAGAAAGAAAATGAAAGCCAATAATCAAAAAGTTCTCAAGAGGTTCCACTCCCTCCTCACTGAGTGTATGTGGAAATTAAAAGAGATAATACACAGGTGCTCAATAAATCTTGGTTCCTTTCCTCTCATTCCAAAACCCATTTTAGGGGAACATTCTACATTCCAGCTCACCAGCTGGGGGTCTGTTGCTGCAGTTATGAGCTGCATCTGGATAGTTTATGCTTGGTTTCCAGAGCAAAGCACCATCCTGACTCTTGTCCAAAGAAGATATTAGCCGTCTTGGAATGTCCATCAGATTTGGGAGTTATTTGTCAGAGATGAGGTGGGGCAGATGAGAAGGGTGCTGGGATGGTGCCCATCCACAGAACCTAGGTCCTTGCAACACACACCACCAGTTCTTGGGATTTGGGAGCTGGGCCCAATTAGTTCATCACAGCAAGGTGTCAGCATGGGGAGTACGAGCCTTCAGCGCTGGGCAGGAGGGGAGTGTTTTCCCAGTGCCTCCTCTGGACAACAAACTTTGAAAATTCCTTTGTATCTGTCAGGGCTATAACTAAAATCTTATCATCTAACAGTGCCTGGAACATAACAGGGCCTCAGAAATGTTAGTTGTCTTTCCCTCATACCTTATCAGTTAGCACAGATAGCCATTCCTTGACATCAATCCAAAAATAATGAAATAAAGAATAGGCAACTCAGAAAACCAGGGCATTAGGGGAGAGACACCAGGCAGAGGAAATGTAGCTTAATAGGAAAGAGGACAAAGAGAAAGTTAACAGTTTCACAACTGTGAAATCAGAATCTTCAGAGGAAGGATCTGGGAATCCACGTTTATAACATGAACCCCAGGTGGTTTTTATGATCAGGCAAGTTAGGGTTTCTCAAGAGGGTGGAACACCTGCCTCAGAAGCACCTGGGGAATTTATTAGACCAAGAATAGGTTCCAAGATCCTAGATCCAGAGACTCAGAATAGAGTTCAGGAGCCTGAAGCCTGGAATCTACATTCTTAAAAATGTTTTCTAAGTGAGTTTGATGTGCCCTGCAGTTTGAGAACCATGAAAACTTAGCATGGTGGCTACGAGTATAGGCTCTAGGGTCATAAAGTCCAGTTTCAAAGTTTTAGTTCACTATTTACCAACTATAGGACCTTCGGTAATTTCCTTAACGTTTCAATATACCTCAGTTTACCTGTCTGTAAAATGTGCATAATAATATCTACCTATGTCATGATGTGTGGAAAACACTTGACAGAAGCCTTAGAACATTAACATGCCAATTATTATCTATTATAACCCAAAAGTCAGAGTCTTCTATTTCTCCCTGATTCCTACTGCCTTTCTTGGTACTTCTGTTGCAACCTTCAGTGGAGTCTGCCTTATGAAAGGGTTACTTATTTATATATCTGTCTTTCTCACTAAATGCTGGATTTCTAGAGGGCAAAAAACCCCCCCCCCTTTTTTTTTTTTTTTTAAATGTTTGCATCCTTGTCTTTGCAGGACTTTGCATCATGTCATATTAGAGTTGGAAGGGACTTTCAAGGCCACCTAATCTAGCCCTTGTTTTACAGATGAGAAGACTGAGGGTGAGTTACTTGCCTCAAGTCACAGAGTGAGGTAGTTGGACCATGGTTTGAGCCCCAGCACAGCCACCTCCTGGCTATCTATTTGAGTCCTAAACTCTTTCTTCATCTTAAAGATGGGCATAATAATGAATACTTGCGTACTTACTAAGCAAGTGCCTTGTTAAGTACACATCCATGAGGAACTCTGGCAACCTGAAGGGTATTGTTACTACTCCTCTACAGAATTGACTCTGGCTCCATAAATATTCATTGAATCAGAGTAGTTCAGGGTGAGTTATCCAAGGATCTGGAGGAATGATGGGGCCTGTTATTTACCTGTCAGTTGACATAGGGGAAAGTCAGTTGCATCATGTGTAAGATGGTTTTGGAGCCTTCATCATTCAGGCCAGTGCTTATCATTTGCAGACCCCACTTTCAGATTTACTACCCTTTTACCTTTTTCTTCAGCCTCTGATCCATTACTTTATCTTATTCATGGTCCCTCCATCCTACCTCAGCCCAATTAGACCGTTTCCTAAGTGATCCGACCCATCTCTGTGGCCCAGGCTCTGCTAGATCAAATCTTGAATATTATCAGAGACGACAGTTCATACCCTCCTAGGTTCTTAGCTCTTGGACAAGAAGGTCTAGAAAGTAGGAAACTTTTCTATGGTGTCCTCTAAACTTTCTCAGGACTTCTTTCCTTGACAACCTAGGAATGATCCATGTCTCTTCATGGCCTTACCATCATGATTGGCATTTCCAAGTGTCCACGGCTCGTCTGAGTCAAAGTGAGTATCTCCTCCAATCCCTGGGCCAGGGAAGTAGGCATGGGCCAGGAATCCCCCTTCTCCATCAAACGGGGAGCTGTCACCGTGGAAACCAGAAGCAAAGAAGATCATGATATCCGCCTCCTTCCGATCACTTTTGATCTCATGGTATGGCACCTCTTCAAAGGTCAGTGGGGTCACCTTCTGCCACACATCAAAAGCCTGGCGAATAGCTTTGCGTGTGTCTAGCTCCCCCACTTTTGGGGTGTAGTTGTGAATGCTGGTGAGAGAAGAGAGGATCATTAGGGAGGAACAGAGAATCAGAGACTAGCAGAGCTAAAAGGGACATCAGAGACAATATGGCCCAGTGATCTTCACATTTTGAGCCCTAGAATTCTGCTGAGCTCCCCCAGGGGTCAAAGAGAGGCTGAGTAGGCAGAGCGCTGGATCCCCACCCCTGCCTCAGTCAGTATAGCTTTCCTTTTTTAAGTGGTTTGTATTTGATCTCCAGCAAAGTTGGTGTGGAAAAGAGGATTCTACTCCAATTTGTAGAAAAAATGTTGGTAGATAGCATTTTCTAAATTCTAAGTGTTCCTTCCAATACACAAAATATGTATATTTATAAAAGTTATAAAAATATTCAAACTGTGGAGAAAAGTCCTTTTTTAAAAAATCTTTGGCACCATCTACTGCTTGTATACCTAGAAACTGGTATAGGGTGGCATCTAATTTAATCTGTGATAGATTTAGCTGTTTAAGGTTACTAAATCTGTATTGCGTGGTTCTCCACAAAGGAGCATCCCTACTTATGGGCACTCTGCCGCATGAACACCTGGGGCACTGATTTTTCTACCCATTCCACAAGCAGGGAAACTGCGAACCAGAGAAGTTGGGTGATAGAAGTTAAGGTCTGAGTTGAGTTAGAATTCAGTCCTTTCTCTTGATCCCCTCTACCTCTTCAAGAGTCTATCCAGTCTCTAACCCAGATTCTTCTTAAATTTCCTTCTCTTGTCAGATTTCTGAAAAAACCCTGCTCTGGTATCTACAGCTTATCAGTAGGAGAGTACTTCATTCAACTCTCAGTATCTTTGTGTTAGATCCTGCCCCTGCTCCCAGGAGATCCACCAGCAAAGCTGTGAGAGGTACCAGCCAGTATCCCTCTGTGCCTGTCCCATGGCTGGCCCTTACCCCAGCTCCACTCTGAATTCTGGTGTCTAAATCTATTGCAAGGGCCCTGTCCTCTCTGCTCGTGGCCCCCTGGTCTGACTTGGAGACTGATCCTGCTGCCTTTGGTTTGGCCAATTTAGGAATGACGCTGTTGTGATTCAGTTCTCAATTCTTTAAACTCCTTAAGAAGTAACTGGAACTCTGTATGGGGACTCTTGGATGAAGTCCATCAAGCTGATTTTGGGTGGGGAGGGGATCCAGATCAGAGAAAGTGGGTTCTGGAAGCAGTGACAGGGAGAATGAATTAAGCCATTGTTCTTTATCACAATGGAAAGTTACTGAACAATTTAGACTCCACATTCTGGAACTTAAAACTATAGGCATCTAAGCAGAACACAACTAATGAGCCCCCAAAGGACCAAATAAACCTGAAACTGGAGTCACAGCATCCTGTGGAAGCCACAAGGAGGGCAAAGTCATGGGCTCTCAGCACCTGGTCTAGATACCCATGTACCTGGGTCTTGTTTTGATTCCTAGAACCTCTGAAACTCAGAACAAGGAAACAGAATGAGGGTGGCACCAAAGCCAGGGAGGAGGAAGGGGCATCAGAGTACCTGTAGGTGATGTGCTTTTGTCTCCATTTCTGTCCAGTCAGGGCATAGCGCTTGTTTCTCCGCCTGCGGCTCAAGTGGGGGTGATCGGGGACACCACATCGGGGTTTCTTCATCCACCTGAGCAAAAACGACACACACATGTGTGCACACTCACATTGAATACTCAAGGAAGGCATTGCACAGTTCCCAGTCCCAGTCTGAATGGCAATGTGCATCCTTAATCTAGACTCCAGGCCCTGGCTCTGCTGGACCCTAACAAGAACATGATTGACCAATTCATTCATTAGTTCATGCACTCAAAAATCAGCTCTGAAGAGACATTGTTGTGTAAGAGATTGTGCATCAGAAGACACAGCTCCACCATTAATCACCCAGGGCAAGTGATTGAATGAGTGTGAACCTCAGTTTCCTTGTCTGCAACATGAGAATTATAGTTCTTATAGTTCTTAGGTGGCAGTGAGTCTTAAAGGAGAGAGTATATGTGAAAATGCTCTGTAAATGCAATTAGAGCACATCGCCCTCTGGTTAAAATCCTCCAGTGACTTTCCAAAACACCTAGAATAAAACTGAAACTCATCCCCCCAGCCCACGAAGCCCCATGTGAGTTAGCTCCTGCCTTCCTGTCTCTCCTTGTATAATATGCTCCAGCCACAGTGACCTTCTTACTGTTCCTCAAACATGCTAAGCCCAGTCTCACACTAGGGTGTCTGCATTTGCTATTCCTTTACTTGTGTCATTTTCTTCTTCACATGGTTTGTTCCCTTCATGAAGGCTTCTTTTAGTGAGGACTTCCCTGTTCACTTATCTAAAATAGTTTCCCCCTCCCTAACCCACTGCTGTCTGCTTATCCTGCTTAATTTTTCTTCAGACCATTAATCACTCCCTGGAATTATATATTTGCTTTCTTGTGTATTCTTTGTCTCTCTCACCAGAGTCTGAGCTCCATGGGCCTATACCCCCAGGGCTGGTTCAATGCTCAACACAGAAGGGGTTCAATAATGAGTTGTTGACTGACTGAATGAATGAATGAACCAAAACTACCCATCAGCAGAATGGCATAGCATGGAAGACAGCACATTCCCTTTCACTACAGGTGTTTGAGAAGTGGCTAAATGACTATATACTTGGAACATAACTCTCTACAGACTTAATACATTGTATTGCAATTTTTAAATTTATCAGTCTGTTGCCTATAATCAATGGTAAATTATTTGAGGCCAGGAACTATGTCATAGTCATCGTTGTGTCCCCAGAAGCTAGCCTGGTGCCTGGAACTAAGTAAATCCTGGTAACTATTATCAGGTAAAGTTACATTAGGGAGCAGTAAACCTGTGACATCATTAGAGGTTTATTTATTTATTAAAAATTTTTTAAACAATTACTTATTTAATGTAATCTGTTTTTAGATTTTTGCTGTAGGATATGTATGCTCACTGGAGAGACAGAGAGAGAGACGGAGAAACAGAAATCAAGAAATCATGCCTCAGGAGGGATAGCCATGGCACAATCCCTTCTCCTCCATTCTCCTCTCAGGATTTTGGGCATGCACACACATGCGCCTGGCATGAGTTTGAAGATATTAGGTCTGGGACTCAAACTGCGGTTGATCATGTGAAAGTCCAGAAGTATAATTATTACACCATCTGCTGGTTCCTATTTATTATTTTTTAATTTGACCAGAGAGAGAGGGAAGTGAGAAAACAAGGCTCTCACTCAAACCACAATTGGCCATGTGGAAGTCCAACACCTCAACCACCACACTATTTGCCAGCCCTGAAGATTGATTGAATAATTGATTGATTGATTGATTGATTTTATTTGTTTAGAGGTTTTTGCCTTAGAGCGTGTTCACTCGCCAGAAAGAAAAAGAGACAAAGACAGTGAGAGGGAAAGTGAGAAATCACACCCCAGGAGGGATGGCCATACCATAATCCCTTCTTCATTCTCTTACCAGGATCTCAAGCACACATGCACATGTGTCTGGTGTGATTTTCAAGCCACCAGGTCTGGGACTTGAACCAGTTGGCCATGTGGGAGTCCAGCGACATAACCACTATACCATCAGCTGGCCTTGAGATTTATTTTTTTAAATGCCAGTTTGACTGAGGCCCTAGGCTATCCCTGAATTTTATGACTCTATTCTGGCCTAATGACAAACTCACTAAACTATAACGTGGGGAGACAGTCTGACCTCATTGGCAGTTGTTGAAAGGAGTTGCCATTGGTAATATAGCAAAAAGAAGGCAGAGGCTATTTTGACCAAATATTAAAAGCTCCTTGAGGAAATTAACCAGATCTTAATTATCTTTGTATTCTTCACATTGCCTGGAAAATGTCCTGTACTTAAATCAGTAATAAGAAATATAAAATAATACCATGCACTGGTATAAACATGTAGACTTCTCAGTGTATATATGTTGACTATAAGGTATGTGTGCTTGCCAGAGAGAGAGAGAGAGGAAAAGTGAGAAATCACCCTCCAGGGTGGATGGCCACACCACAATCCCTTCTTCTCCATTCTCCTCTCAGAATTTTCAGATGCACACACAGTGTGATTTTAAAGCCCCCAAGTCCAGGACTTGAAGAACAGAGTCAGCCATGTGAGATCCAGTGCCTTAAACTCTACGTCACCTGCTGGACCCAGTGTTTATAATTTAAAAAATAAATTTTTTTTGATGCTTTGGACCAGCAGGTGGTACAGTAGAGAAAAAAAAATATTTTTTTGATTACCAAAACAACCCTGTGAGGTTACCATAAATTATCCCCATTTTACAGATGAGAGAAAAGAAACAGATACATTGAGTTAGTTGCAAAACAGAAAATAATGAGCCAAGACTGGAATTTTGTTGAATGAATTAATGCAATTCAACAAAGGGATTTTATTTTTTCTGTCAGTGCTTAGCACAAGGTTGAGCTAGAACTATGTTGTTGACTGAATTAATGAGCAAATGAATAAATGTGTGACATTTCCCAAGGTAGGTATTCAAAAATAGTACTTTAAATTGCTAATCTAGCTTCTCTTCACTAACAGTCCCTGGGAAGAGAACCAACAGCTACCTCTGCTACCAGAAGGCTGAATGAGACCTGGAAGGGCCCCTAGGGGAGTACATGGGTCCAGGGAAAGCCAGCGATTGCCCAAGGTCACAGAGCTAGGGCTGGAAGGGCTAAAACTCCAATGTCTAAATTCCACCCTAAACTCCCTCCCTGCACAGGTCTGGATAAAGTGTGAGCAGCTTTCTCCTTCCCATTCTTCCTAACAACGGCTCCCCCGCCTTCCACAAAGAGGGACAGGCAGAACTGCAAGTGGGAAATGCCATCCTCTTCCCTCAGATTGCTCCCTCTGCCTCCTCCTTTCACCATCCACCTGTCACTCTCTGAATCCTGTCCAACAGGCCTGGGGCTTTCTGGAACTGGTTGAAACCCAAGGCCAGGTGGCACCTCAGCAGAAACACCAGTGCTCCTGCCCCAGGATGTGCCACCATGAGGCCCGTGCAAAACCCTCAAAATAACTGCTGCTTTGAAAAGCAGCGAGGCTGTCTTTAACCAGCTCACTCATGAGGCCATGATACTCAGATCTCATAGGAGCAAACATATTGTCTCGTCATCTCACAATCTCACAGCCAGAGAATCCTGGAATAGGAAATGTTCAGACAATTTCAGGATCATAAAATCCCAGACTTACTAAGTTTTAAAAGCATAGAATAATGCAATCTAGAATTCGAGAGCCATAACTCAACATTCTCCTGTACAAATGAACAGACTGAGACCCAGAGAGATACTTGTCAAAGAGAACTCCCCCTCGGGGTGAATTGATCCTTGATCCACAATCAAATGCATTTCCTGTCCCTCCCTCCACCAAATCCTCTGCCTCCTTACCTAGCTCTGCTCTCTCCTTCCATTTGAGCCCTTAGTGGCTTCTTAGGAAACTCTAGCTTTTTTCCATGCATTTCTGGCATGAATGGCTTTTCTTAAAGAGCTTTCATAGTGATTTCTTCACATGATCTTAGCCAAAAGGCTAAGAAGTTATTATAGCTATTTCTTAAACAAGTTTAAGCACGCTCAACTCTCCCATCCTGAATAATAAAACTTCATCCCTCTCTACCTACCACCATTTCTCCTCCCCTTCACTGTTCAGTCTTCACTGTTCCAGGGAGATGTTTGAGTTTCAGAGATACAAACTCCACTTGCCATTACTGCTCCACACCTCCCTCCCTCCACACAGCAGTTTGACTTTGTCTCCATCATGCCACTGAGATTGTGATAACAACCTTTTGTTGCTAAGCAGACACCTTTCAGTCATTCTCCTGTCCACCACTCTGTGGCTCTGGCCCTGTTGGCCCCCTTTACCTCCTGACATTCCATAGTAGGGGCGTGGGGAGCTTCCATCCCCAGCTCTCCTCTTCCTTTTCTTCATACTCTCCCTGAGTGATCACAGCCATCTTTGTGGTTTGATTTGTTACCACCTCCCACGCATTTCCCTGAAACCCTGTTTCCTTCTGAGCACTGGACTGGTATGGCCAGATGACTGTTGTTTTCACTAAAGGGTGAGCTTCTGTGGGGCAAGATAACAAGACCAAACGCACTGCCTGGCACATGTAAGCACTTAGCCAGTGTTTGGTAAATGGAAAAAGTGGAACAGAGTTACCAGCCTATTATGATTCAAGAGTTCTCTGTATCAAGTGAGACTCCCATCCCAGCACAGCCCTAGGTCACTTAGGAAAGGGCACTTTAGAGTTGTCCCTCCCAAGAAGGCACTGCAGGGGGTAAAAGACAGGAGTGGGATGGGATGATGTATACACAAGGCCATGATAAATGAGAACTCAAATGTACATCCAGGAAGTTCAAAGGTACAATGTCCTATGCAAATCTTACTCGATCGTTGTCTGATCCAACACACCGGTGACTGGGATCCCATAAAACTGCTGCATAGTGGAGACTGCTGACTGTAAGGCCTTCCCTGAGTGCAATGCAGACGCCCGTGAATCATAGGGAAGCAGATAGCCATATGACTTCAACCAGTTCTGAAAGACATGTGAAAGAAAAGGATGCATTATGATGAAGAAGGCTCTGTGCTGGGCAGAGGTTTGCCCTGAAATCTAGGGATCATTTTACCCAAGTGGCTTATGGACTCATGCTCTGATTTCTTCTTCCTTCACTCCATCCTGCAGACACTTTCACACCTTTCACTAGATTATTCCCCTGCTATAGACCTTGCACTAGAGCTCTACTGGCTATAGAACAAAGATTAGATTTGAAGTCGAAGCTTTCTACTACCCTGCTTCTCTACTCATTTATCCAGTGCTTTCCATTGATACCAGATTAGACATTCAAGAGCACAGAACAGTTAGTTCTCTGAAATAGAGTGGCCTTTTGAAAATATATATTATACCTCCTGGAAACTCACTGTGTCTAAAGTCAGAATTCTATGAAGAATCATGTTTGCAGAATATTTATTGGCAAGGAATTATATACAGCCTTTATTGCTAACCTCCACCCTATATGGGGGCTATTATAAATAAATACATAATATATTATTTAATTTAAATATAAAGAAATAATAGGCACATAGAAAATAGGGGGAAAATATATATACAAGAAACAAGGAATGGAAAATTATTTGTCGATGATAACATGTATGATTAAGCCACTCTACAGTGTATTCTGGCTGGAAAATTGCATTTTGTATGCTGTGGTGATGTTCAGTGAAAGTATGTAAAATAAATAAATAAATAAAATGCAAAAAAACCCCAATAGGCACATAGAAAAATCTAGAAAGGCACACATAAAAAATTAATATTATGTAAGAAAATTCCTTGTTTTTAGGAAATACATGTGGAAGTATTTAGTCTTATATCAGGATGCATGATGTCTGTAATTTAAATGAGTTCATAAATAAATAAATGGAGAGAAAAAGCCAATATAGTAAAATGTTAATATTTGGGGAAACAAGGTAAAGGGTATTCAGGGATTTTTTTGTTCTATTCTTGAAAAATTCTGAAAGTCTGAAATAATATCAAAACATTTTATTTAAAGAAAAAAATAATTTAAAATATCCTTTGGTTATAGTATTGTTGGGACCAGCAGTTAGTGTAATGGCTATGTCGCTGAACTCCCATGTAGCCAACTACGGTTCGAGTCCCAGACCCGGTGGCTTAAACTCACGCCTCCCAAGATCCTGAGAGGAGAGTGGAGGAGAGGGGATTGTGGCGTGGCCTTCCTC